ACCTGTGCCCTCCGCTCTCCTATCAGCCCGTGGGATCTGGCGTCTCTGCACAGCGATGAACCTCTGTGCTACGGCGGCTCGGGTCTGGGATTTCTGTAAAAGCAGGAACTTGGGGGAAGGGAAATCAACTTCCAGCATGAAGTGTGAGGAATAGCCCACTCCCCAGTAAAACTGGTCAAAATCATTATTTTAATTGCTAAAGGGTAGGTGTGCTTGTCAGAAAGAACAGGAAGGGAGAAGGCACCCCCCCAGTGGGGCTCGGTCCTGCCAGGATCCTGGCTCCTCCTTTTCTCCACCCTAGCAGGATTTGGAGCACAAGGCTTTGGGGCACAGGAGCCCAGCATGCTTTTCAGGTCACTGAGCCAGGATTCGAACTGCAGTTGGCCATGTAAGATCTAGCTCCCTTAACAACTAGGCTATGGGGCTGGACCAAAAATTATTTTTTTAAAAACCAGCCATTTTAAAGCCTCTAGAAATGAAGGCTAGGCAGTGGCGCACGAGTAACATGCACTCCATGAGGCTGAACCACTTGGGAAGGTTCTGGGTTCCCAAATGGAGACCTCTCCGAACACACCTGCTACCCGTGTCCTTGATGCAGGGCAGACCGAGGCTTGGGGTGGAAGACAGCATGAAGACTCTCCTGGGTGCCTGTCTCTCGCTTTTTGTCTTTCTATCTCACTGATGGAAGAAATGAAGAACTACAGGGACCAGCAGTTGGGGTAATGCCTATATCACTGGACTCCCATGTAGTCAACCGTGGTTCAAGCCCCGGACCCAGTGGCTTAAACTCACACCGGGTGCGTGTGCGTGCATGCCCAAGATCCTGAGAGGAGAATGGAGGAGAAGGGATTGCAGCGTGGCCATCCCCCTTGGGGGGTGATTTCTCACTTTCTGTCTCTGTCTGTCTTTCTGGCAAGCGTACACGCCCTATAGCGAAAACCTCTCAAAAAAAATCTACATTTTTAAAAACAGAATTAAAAAAAAAAAAGCCTCTAGAAATGGTTTAAAGGCAAACACCCAAATAAAGAAACTTGCGTTGAAGAAAATCTATCAGTCTTCAATAAGAAGGTGAGAATCTGTGGTACAGGAGCCAAGATACTTCTTACTTCCCACTCCCAGCCAGCCAGGTAGAAGACACCACCCAGGACCCAGGACTGTTGTAGCCAAAAACGTGAGGTCTCCTCTCCCCCAGACCAAGAACTCAGGGATGCCCCTCTCACCCCAGCTCCCAGTCCGAGGCTGTCTTCCTGGGAGAAGGAAGTTAATGTGTGTGTATGTATATACACATATTGTATATACATATGCATGTATATGTGTATATGTGTATATGTGTGTGTGTGTGTGTGTGTGTGTGTGTAAACAAAGCTGATAGAAATAAAACAAATAAAAAATCTGGGACCAGCAGATGGCATAATGGCTATGTCGTTGGATTCCCACGTAGTCGACCACAGTTTGAGTCCCGGACCTGATAGCTTAAACTCACGCCAAGTGCATATGCGTGGTGTCCAAGATCCTGAGAGGAGACTGGAGGAGAAGGGATTGCGGTGTGGCCACCCCCCTGGGGGTCATTTCTCGCTTTCTGTCTCTGTCTCTGACTTATTGGCGAGTACACGCACCCTATAGCAAAAACCTCTCCAAAAAAAAAAAAAAAATCCTACAAGAATCATAGTAGAGGGGCCAGCAGATGGTGTGGAGATTGGGCAGCCGGGTCTCACATGGCTGACTGCATAGTTCAAGTCCCAGACTATGAGGCTTACAAAACATGCCAGACATACATGCATATGTGCCCAAGATCCCAAGAGGAGAGTGGAAGGGAACGATTGTGGCGTGGCCATCCCCCCTGGGGCGTGCTTTCTCACTTTCCCTGTCTCTGTCTTCGGCAAGGATACATGCCCTATAGCAAAGCAAAACAAAACAATCATGGTGGAAATCTAACACAACTCTTAGAATAAACGGGTCAAATAGAGAAAAACTAAGTTAGGGATACAAAGAACATGAGTTGTAACCAATAAATCTGAGATAAATACAGAGCTTTCACCCAACATTCTAAAGGTAGAGCGGCCACCCAAACTGACAGTCCATCAGATCCCAAGTTAACTGTGGCTTCTAACCTTTATTTCTCTTCCAGCTCTGTGGCAGAAGAGAGATCATGAAACTTCCCAGCTACGAAACATCTCCGTCAAGTGCCAGGGCTGGCCCTCGTAGTAAGTGATTAAGCTGTGCACTGCGAGTCGAATCACGCATGGCTGCCCACAGTTCGAATCCCCCTCCTGGTCCCAGAGGCTTGCAGAAACACACCAGGCTCACGTGCATGCATAACCAAAATCCTCACAGGCTGGGGAAAGAAGAAGGGATTGTGCTATGACCACGTCTCTTGGGAGAGGAGAGGTGTTCCCTCTCTCTCTCTCTCTCTCTCTCTCTGTCTCTCTCTCTCTCTGTCACGTGCCAATGCACACATCCTTTTAACTGCCAGTGCAGTTTTTTTTTATTTTAAAAAGATAATACATATGCAGGGAACCAGCAGTTAGCGTAATGGCTATGTCACTGGATTCCCACGTAGTCGACCGCGGTTCGCGTCCCGGACCCGGTGGCTTAAAACTCACGCCGGGCGTGTGTGCGTGCGTGCCCAAGATCCCGAGAGGAGAATGGAGGAGAAGGGACTGCGGCGTGACCATCCCCCCTGGGGGGTGATTTCTCGCTTTCTATCTCTCTGTCTCTCTCTGTCTGTCTGGCGAGCGCACGCACCCTATAGCGAAAATCTCTCTCTCAAAAAAAAAAAAAATAATAATAATACATATGCGGAAAAAATAAAGACTAAAGCCAAGGATGTAAATAAAATAAAGCCATTCTCAGATACTACAAAAACAGAAGGTTGATCATCACCGAGGAAACTTCTAAGGAATGTACTTAAGGAGATGAAAAATGGTTCAGAAAAGAGTATTTATAACCCACGAAGGAACGGAGAGTAAAGGAAATAGTAAACAAATCTAATACATATTGACCTAGGAGACAACAATAGCAATAATGTCTAATTTGAAGGATTAAAGTAAAAATACAGTTCAGGCTACAGGGGTGGCGACTGGAATGAGTTCTAAATCTCGCCTTGTCCGGAAGGACTGACTGAGTAAACAAATGACCCGAGCTTGCAACGAAAAGGCTAGAACTTGAACAGAAGTAAATTCAAATTAGGTAGAAAGACCAAGAATAAAAGCGGACATGAATTACATAGAAAAGTAAACAGCAATACGCTTAATCAAAGCTGATTCTTTGAAAGGCTAATTCAAATAAGTAAACATTAAGCAATCTGACCAGAAAAAAGCCACCCCCCCCAAAAAAAAATTACTATGGGGCCAGCAGGTGGTGTGGGTATTAAGGCACGACTCACACACGGCAGACCACAGTTTGAGTCTGGACCTGCAACTTATTTTCTCACCTTCTCTCTCTCTCTCTCTCTCTCTCTCTCTCTGCTGAGCACACATGCCCTATAGCGAATTAAAATAATAGTAAATAAACTTAAAATAATTATTTTTAAAAGTATTATTGTTTGGTGCCAGCAAGTGGTATTGTAGTTAAGGCACTGGACCCCCACATGACAGACCATGGTTCGAGTCCCAGACTTGGCACTTTGAAAATCACACACAATCCTAGAGAATGCAAGAGAGGCTACTGCAGCGTAGTCGCCATCCCCCCGGGGGGGGGGTGATTTCTCACGTTCTCTCTCTGTCTAGCACATGCAGCCTAGGGCAAAAACCTAAAAAAAAAAAAAAAAAAACTGTTCTTGTTAATGAGAAAGAACAGGCCACAGACCCGTGTTTGCGTGTTTGTTTCCTGACACCCAGATGCCATACCTAACATTATGCTGCCGTGCATTAACTTTTAATAACGTTAAGTCTTTTTTTTTTTTTTTGGAGAGGTTTTTGTTATAGGGCACGTGCACTCGCCAGAAAGACAGAGACAGAGAGACAGAAAGCGAGAACTCCCCCCCCAGGGGCGTAGCCACACTGCAATCCCTTCTCCATTCTCCTCTCGGGATCTTGGGCACGCACGCACATGCACCCAGCGTGAGTTTAAGCCACCAGGTCAGGGACTCGAACCATGGTCGACTACATGGGAGTCCAGCGATGTAGCCATTACACCAACTGCTGCTCCCGAATAATGTTAAATCTTTTTAGGGAATAGAATATCTTTTTTTTTTTTTTTTTGAGGTTTCTGCCATCGGGTGCATGAGCTCACTGGAGAGAGACAGAGAGACAGTGAGAAGGAAAGTGAGACATCAACCCCTCACCTCCAGGAGAAAAGGCCACACCAGGATGCCCTCTTCATTCTCCTCCTGGGATTTTGGGCACGCAGGCACACACGGCCAGTGGGAAACAGAATATCTAGAATTGATTTGGGGGAAACAGAAAGCCTGAGGAAAATCAACGGTCATGGAAGGAAGAGGAAAGGTGGGTAGAGACTGATACCAGCTTCTCAGAAACCAGCAGCAGCACCCAGGCAGCTTGCAGCCAGGGAACAGACAACGCTTCTGTTCCAGAGCATGAAGATGAGGGAACGGTTCCCAGTTTAATCAACAGGGACAGGAGAATCCTACTGAGAACACAGACAAAAGCGGGGGAGAGGAGAACTTGGTACTAATATCACGTACAGATACCGAACCCTAAATAAAACGTTAGTCACTTAGAGATACCAAAACCCCAAATAAAATGCCAGCTTACTGAAACCTACCAAACAACTCTGCAGTGCATCTTAAATTATATTAGGATTTTAGACAAAGACAATCAACCACATAATCGCGTATGTTGAGTTGAGGAAGGAAAACGACAGGGTCCTCTCCATAGACGCTGTCACACAAAGCATTTGGGAAAAGAAAGTCAGCACCCACTTCTGACTTGTTAAACTCTCAGTGACTGGGCAGACACGGAAATTAACTGAATATGATGAAGAGACAGTAAGAAACATCCTCCTACCTCCAAGCCCAAGACAAAGATGTCGTACTTCACCTTAATATTGCTCAGCGGAGCGTGACCGCCGAAGAACACGCACAAACAGCAGGCGCATGTGTTGTTTCTTAACAGACGATAAAATGACCCACCGGGAGCAGCCCCACGCCACACTGAGATGCTACTGCCAGGGATTAAAAGTTAGCAGGAGGCTCGGCCTCACATCTAGGCTGCCTACCGAATTAAACTTGCTTGTTTGGGGAAGGAATCCAGCCGAGCGATTTTCTCCAGGAAGGTGTTGGAATTGACAAGCTTCTGCCCCTCGGTCCTCCCCCACCTGAAACGTAGCACTAACACAGTATCCGAAACCGGATAACAGAATCTTTCCAGAACCCCAAATCGACTTCTCAGGTTGAGTTGCGCCTCTACTCAAAAACACTTTATCTCTTGCCTCCAGCCGCTGCAGTTACAGACGGATAGCAAGTCACCCAGTCCGACATCCTCCTTCCGATAGAGGGCAAGGAAGAGCACCTTCCCAGGCGTATTTTTTTCCCAACCATATACTGCTCATTATATAAACTTACGTGCTGGCGAATGCAGCGCCCGCAAAATAAGACGGAGTCAAACTCGATTTTAAAAAATAATAAAACAAGCACCGACACTAATTTGATCTCCGAGACATTTGCAAAGGAGGCTGTCGCTGTTGCGCTCGCGACAGGCTCGGCATCTCCGGGACACGCACCAACATCCCCACGGTGCCCCCCGGGCTCGCCAGGTGCACTGCACTGAGACACCGCGCGCTCACCCGGGGACGCGCAGCCCGCGCCCTTCCCCGGTCACCCCAGGGAGCCAGGACACCGCAGCTGTGTGGACGCCGAGCATGGCCACGGGTTTCTCGGTCCCCGACACCCCGCAACCTCCCCACACACACGCACACATACCAGGACAGCACCGAAGAGCCCGAGCCCAAGCCCGGCACCCACGCATCTGTCCCCCCAGGGCCCACCTGGGGGCACTTCCCAGGGCTGCAGTTGTCGGGAGCCACCTGGCCCTCTGTCCCGGGCTCCTGCGCCAAGCCCCCGGCCCGGAGGGGAGGGGGCGGCCACCTGCCGCTGCCACCTGCGGCACCCGTTCCTCGGCTCCCGGGCTGGGCCGGATAGGGCAAGACGTCCCTCCTAGGCTGGGGAAAGATCCGCAGCGCCGAGGGGCACCGGGGCCACCGCGGTGACAACCGCAGCGCGTCTTCCCCGAGGGGCAGTACTCCGCGGCTCCCCGCGCTCCCCGAAGCTCCGCGGAAGGTCCCCGCGCTCCCACCCGCGCCTCCCGCCAGCCGCCTCCGGGGGGCGCGCGCGAGCCGGCGCGGGGCTCCCTGGGAGTTGTAGTCCAAGAGCCTCTGCACTTTGCCCCGGGGCTCGCCCGCCGCCCGGGCTGGGGGTCCTTTCTTTCTCCCGGCTTTCCCTGTCTCCCGCAGGGGCTCATCCTCCGCTGCCGGGCAGTCGACGGTGGAGCACCCCCGTCGGGACCTAGGTCCCCTCTCGGCACTCCAGACAGTGATTCTCAAAGTGCGTAGCCCGGAGCGGCAGCACCGTCTGGAAATACCGTGTTAACTCTTCCTGTCAGAGAAGCTGGCTCCCTCTCAGCTGGATTCTTCCCATAAACATTTAAATTTGGGACCCGCAGTTGGCGTAATGGCTATGTGGCTGGACTCCCATGGACTTCGACTGCGGTTCGCGTCCTGGACCCGGTGGCTTAAAACTCACGCCGGGCGCGTGTGCGTGCGTGCCCAAGATCCCGAGAGGAGAATGGAGGAGAAGGGATTGCGGCGTGGCCATCCCCCCTGGGGGGTGATTTCTCGCTTTCTGTCTCTATATCTCTCTCTCTTTCTGGTGAGTGCACGCGCCCTATAGCAAAAACCTCTTCCAAAAAAAAAAAGAAATTAAATATGAGGAAGCTTCTCCCACTTTAAAAAAAAGGATTGGGTGGAGGCAGAAGGTGGCGTGGAGGTGAAGGTAGCTGGATCCCACATGGCTGACTTTGCCGCTGGAGTCCAGACTCAGGACTTGGAAATCAGGCTGGTGGTGTGTGCGTGGGTGTCCACAATCCCAAAGGGAGAATGGGGGAGCAGGGATTGCTGTGTGGCCTGGGACTGGGGTGGGGGGGTGTCGTGCGATTTCTCACTTTCCCTCTTTCTTTCAGTCTCTCCCCCATGAGCGCAGTCGCTCTATAGCA